GCCCCATATCTTGAATTTTGTGATGCATTTGAATAGACTGAATCATGCCGTTAAAGAACGCACTCTAAATGCGCACGCGCACTAATCTAACCTAATAGACTTCACGTCATGTATGCGTGCACTCTCTGTAGGTATGTTTTGTTTGGATTTTGCAATATACTCGATAATGTCAAACCGCACATCGTAAAACAACAATTACGAAATGTGTAGATTCGGTGGCGAACGCTGTTACCTGCAAACTCCGTCCCACAGGCTTTACAGTGAATGCAGTGCATAGAGCACAGTGCATTTTCATAGCGGAGCCACTCGAAGTCTTTCAACCACTCTCTCCGAAAATTGTACGCCTTCTATTCGGCTCGTGGATCAACATTCACCATATGATCGCTATCACCAGCACCGTTATTTGTAACTTTAGGTGGTTCACAAAAGAAATCTGTAAGTGTTCTTTTCATTTTCTCTCTTCTTCAGCCCTTTCTTTTTCTCGCGGTAGTTAGCGGAAAGTAGTGACTGGGTGATTGACAGCTAATATTAACCAATACAAAATCTGCATTAAAGTTAAGAATGTAAAGATGAAGTTTAATTGGTTATGTAGCCTAACGTTTCATAGAACGGCAGACAGGTCACCGTATCAACACTCAGAAGGCACATACTCTGAATGTTTTTAGAGAATGCAAACAGGTCGCACGACAACAATTATATGCACTCGCACAAATGCTCCCAAATATATTTTGAGGTCACACAGATTAAATTTCGGGAGCATATGCGACCAAAATGGTCGCAATTTCGAGCCTTGTGTGATGTAACAGGCTACCGCTAGCAAGCAGCTAACATGTCCCTTTAGTGGCTTGCATTATTTTATTAGAACACGTTATTTGTTTTCCGTGCCTTTCTGAATACAGACACCAACCCATCCCTGCACATCACATGCCCTGCACAGCCTGGAACATAACATTTATTTCCATGATCTGCAATATTCGCTATTATCCTCGCTTGTTTCTTCACAAAACATGCAGAATTTCTGATGATTCGACTGTGCAGGTTTGGCTGGCGGCTGGCATAGATCATGGGCAGGTATATATACAAATGTTGGGGGCGTAACTATTAGTGATCCCGACTGTAACGTCACAGTCGGTGTTATGTTCTGATTCGCCTATTTTTCAGGTGTCTTTTGCATGCACGAGATTTACACAAGGAGGAGGAAACAATGGTGTTTGAGGCTCATGGTATGTAATTTCCATGTACAGAACTCTTATTATTCAACTATGCCTAGGTAAATACAGTTTTCCATTCTATGGCACCTTTAATTGTTTCTATACTGTCTAGATACTGTAGACAGACAGATAGACAGACGTACAGAAATAGTATTTATTATATGGGTGATGATTAATCTAAATAAAAAAATTCTTTACCCGATTAAATAAATTTTGCTACAATTATATATATATATATATATATACAGTATACATATGTTGATATAAAACATGTACCATATGCAGGACATTAAAGATTTGTTTTGATGCCACTTTTTGAAACCAATGTAAAACATATGTACATAAAATAAATTATATAAAATAATATATAATATGTAAAATCCCAGACCTGTGTGGTCTGACTCACAAACTAATTCCATCCATGAATATATATTAATTATATATAGAATCTCATAGTTGAGGTATACCTATGATGAAAATTACAGGCCTCTCTCACCTTTTTAAGTGGGAGAACTTGCACAATTGGTGGCTGACTAAATACTTTTTTTCCCCACTGTATATATTGTTCCTATATTTGTTTTTTAATTAATTAATTTTATTTTTAAAAATATATTTTATTTTATTAATTTTATATATAGATTTATTAGTTCACCCAAAAATTCTGTCATTAATTACTTACCCTCATACGTAAACAATGTATGATGTTCTGTGTCAGCAGCACCATACAGATACGCTGTTTACGTTTACGCTTTGATCTGAACGTAAACAACTTATCCGCGTACTTATCCGCGTACATACGTTGCATACGTTGTTTACGTATGTGATACTCTCCAAAATGGCACTATAGGGTGACGCGGAGGAGACGAATTGTTGAATTAAGTTGTTATTTTTGTTTTCTTTGTGCACAAAAAGTATTCTCGTAGCGTTGTAAAATTACGTTTGAACCACTGATGTCACATTATTTTAATGATCTCCTTGCTGTTCTGAGCCTTGATCATGTAAGGATCCTTGCTGTCTATGGGAGGGTCAGAGAGATCGCGGAATACATCAAAAATATCTTAATTTGTTTTTTCCGAAGATGAACGGGGGTCTTACGGGTTTGGATCAACATGAGGGTGAGTAATTAATGACAGAATTTTCATTTTTGGGTGAACTATCCCTTTAAGGCACGCCTCCACATTTTCAATGGTCATGGTCAGGATAAAGGGGGAGGCAAAACAATGTTCAACACTACACCATTTTCATAATAACACCTCCTTAAAATGTCCCTGCAGGGGAAACAAACACACACGTTGACTCATCGTTCATTGTTTCGAACAGATTCAGTCTGTATGAAATCCTCCTATTAAAATAAATGATGTCTGTTTGATAGACCTTGAAAATAAAAGCCCACAATGAGAGATGGGCTCACTGTGTTCCATCAGTAAAAAAAACTATTAGTAGGTCTGGCCAAGGACCTCCCAGATACACCTAATCTCAGAATGAGAAGGTAAAAAGGCTGAAACATGCACGTGACTTACCCAAACCATCTTCTGCGAGGTACCGATCCCTGGCGTACAGCACAGAGTCCAGCATTGACTCAAACAGTAGGAAGTAGCCCTAGAAAAATGATAAAACTTTTTAAATGTTTTAAGATGCATATAAAAGGCCAGAGATTGCATTCAGGTACACTGTAAAAAATTATTGTGATTTTAACAGTAAAAACATAACTGGTTAACAGTAAGTTTCTGTACTATATACGGTGAATAACTGTAATAGATCTAACCATACATTTAATGTAATTTTACAATAAATGTTAAAATTACATTTTTTGGAAGTGAAAAAGAACAAGTCATTGCATAATGACACTTCACATTTGATGTTTTTTCTTTGAAATAAATTTAGTTTTTTAGTTTTTTCTTATCAGATTTGTACATTAGGGTTTTATCTTACATCTAATGATAAATTAATGTTTATTTAAATTAATGCATTAATTTAGCATCATGGATGTTACGATGCTGGTGTTCAGTATTTGTGTGAATGACACTATGCACCTTTTATATATTAGTATTTAGCTTCTCAGCTTGTGGAAAAGCTGCTTGTGATGAGCATTGTAATTTTTGCTGTCAGCAGTGGTACAAGGCAGATGGTTGGTATATTAACATTATATCAATTAATGATATGTGGATTTTATTTTTATTTTTTACTGTAAATGTAAGTTAAATCTGTAAAACCTAAAATGTTGCTACCATATTTTTATGGTACATTTCTGCCGGTATTTTACCATAAATGTCACAGGTTTTTTTGTTGGTGTTTTTTGTTTTTTTTGGAAACAGTATGGAAACAGACGCTAAGAAAAAGCACGCCATACTACTTCTTTCTTCTTCTGTTCAAAGGCCGTTTGCATACGTGGTTCATATCGCCACCTAACTGGTGGTTGTGCAATCATTTTTCTTTTTTTCTGTTTAATCTTTAATCCCTGAGAATAAGAATTATATTGTTTGTTTGATGCTAACTATATAATAAGTCATATCAGATATGTATTTTTATTACAGAAATACATTATAGAAAATGCAGATCCATGCTGTGTGAGATAATATAAAATGAAATAAATATATAATATAATAAATTAAACATTACCTTGTCATAATAGTGTTTTATAATTTATACAGATGACTATTATATATGCCAATAAAATAAATATAATAACCATATTAGAATAATATATTACCTTATATATTACTTATATTAGTGCTTTATAATTAAAGTCCCCCTATAGTGAAAATCAAGTTTTTTTATGTTGTTTATTTGTCTATGTGGTGTTTTTAATTTGCTTTTAGACAAACCATGTGCCAATCCATTAATCAACACCATTGCTGAGTATTTTCTCCTTAAAACTGTAGTTTTCCAATGGCAGTCCCAGAAACGCGGTTTGAAACAGCCCTCGGTTTGCTACATCACAAAATTCAATAACCAATCACGTCAAGGGATAGATTCCTATCATTAGCATATCCCTCTCTCCATTTATACAAACGCGGCGTGCATAGAGATCGCATGCAACATATTCCAATAGGATTACCAGCACAAAACCAAAAATAAAATAGAGCAAAAACCCATGAAGCTGTGGTTTAATGTGAATTTAGAACCGCTAACTTGAATAATAATCCGTGGCAACAGTATAAAAGTAGCCCAGAATCAGACCCACCTCTCCCGCATTGGCGGCCGCACTTCACACACATATGCTCGCGGGCACACTTAATTCTGCGAATTAAGAATCACAAACTTGGCTGCATTCGAGTTTTCAAGGCATTTTGAGGACACAACATCTTCAAGTAAGTAACTTTAATGACTGTTACAGTATCCACTGTAGTTGTCCGCTAGTAAAAACAGTTTTATCAGTCATTATCCTTGGATCAGGAGGCCCTGGCTGAGTGGAAGCGGGGATAATTTGCATATTCATAGATCTGCATGAGGTAAGGGTGTAGAGTTACATTCAAGCTATTTTAAGGCATGACAAAATTATTTTCACAAGAAAAAAGCATTTAAATATGTAATTTTGATGATCAAAGATGAGTTTTAAGGGATCAAATGTTTGACTACAGTGGGATTTTAACATATCATACAACTATACATACATACACACACATATATATATATATATGTATATATATATAGTATATATAGGGTATAAAAAGGTTAGTATACCGTGGCAGCCCTCGAGTGAAGCCCTCGTCGTGTGAAGACCGAAGAGTGTAAAGACATTCGACTACCGTGTGATTCCACCGGGCAGGGACATCGGCAAGAGACATAAGTATCACTTTTGATTCATCCTCTTTTCTACACCTGCTTCACTTCTGTTTCAGTTTATTATGACCAACTGTTCCTATGTGTTTCCATATCCTGTAAGGGTGTAGAGTTACATTCAAGCTATTTTAAGGCATGACAAAATTATTTTCACAAGAAAAAAGCATTTAAATATGTAATTTTGATGATCAAAGATGAGTTTTAAGGGATCAAATGTTTGACTACAGTGGGATTTTAACATATCATACAACTATACATACATACACACACATATATATATATATATGTATATATATATAGTATATATAGGGTATAAAAAGGTTAGTATACCGTGGCAGCCCTCGAGTGAAGCCCTCGTCGTGTGAAGACCGAAGAGTGTAAAGACATTCGACTACCGTGTGATTCCACCGGGCAGGGACATCGGCAAGAGACATAAGTATCACTTTTGATTCATCCTCTTTTCTACACCTGCTTCACTTCTGTTTCAGTTTATTATGACCAACTGTTCCTATGTGTTTCCATATCCTTACTATTACTACCACTCGCAAACCACGCATCACACACTATAGGCAGTCTGCTAATACTACTTTTTTACTTGGAATTGTCAGCCTGCAGTAGGCATGGGCCGGTATGAGATTCTGACGGTATGATAACCTTAAGCAAAAATATCACGGTATCACAGTATTGTCATTACAGCTCTAAAATGTGTTATTTTTAAATGACTGGGTAAAATAAAACTTTTTCCACTGAACACAATATATTTAGTTTTTGAGCAACATACAGAATATTAGGAACAGTAGAATGTTTATATTTTCTTTGATTTCTTTCCTAAAAAGAAGAAAAATAAAGACTGACATCTTTATTTAACCTGTAATCTAACCTTAAATCTGTAATTAGTTATTTAATTTTAGTTATATAATTCATATACATATAATTTGTATAATTTCATATCATTTAGTTATATAATTTCATATACATAATTTGATTTAATAATAACCCAATTTGAAGCAAAAACAGAACGTTCTGTTCTGACTAGCTTTGTGAAATTATACTACATGCCTGAACGAAGCAAACAGCAGATGCTCTGAATGAGATGCAAATTCACTCTCTGACAGCAGGAGGCGCTTCTGGAACACCAGATACATAATTTCCTTGGTTACCGCTCTAAACAAAGCAGTGCTGCGCTGAAACACCAATTTGAAGCAAAAACAGAACGTTCTGTTCTGACTAGCTTTGTGAAATTATACTACATGCCTGAACGAAGCAAACAGCAGATGCTCTGAATGAGATGCAAATTCACTCTCTGACAGCAGGAGGTGCTTCTGGAACACCAGATACATAATTTCCTTGGTTACCGCTCTAAACAAAGCAGTGCTGCACTGAAACACTGGTGGGGTTTAAAGGTGGGGTAAGCGATTTCTGGCAGCCAATGTTGACATTTGAAATCACCAAAACAAACACGCCCCTACCCCAAAAGGGTCTCGCCCCTATTTTGATAGCTCCGCCCTACACATAGCCTACGTACACAACCCAGGCAACGATTAGTTCTGTGAAACAAAGCAAAACCAATGTTCCCCCTCTTCTACACCGGATGCGAGTGGCGAGCTGGGACAAAATACTATGGAACTCATTATAATCAGTGATGCTGTCTACACCATAATTAATTCATTCATTCATTACATTTATATAGCGCTTTTCTAGGCACTCAAAGCGCTTTACATTGTCAGGGGGTATCTCCTCATATCACTTTTGATTCATCCTCTTTTCTACACCTGCTTCACTTCTGTTTCAGTTTATTATGACCAACTGTTCCTATGTGTTTCCATATCCTTACTATTACTACCACTCGCAAACCACGCATCACACACTATAGGCAGTCTGCTAATACTACTTTTTTACTTGGAATTGTCAGCCTGCAGTAGGCATGGGCCGGTATGAGATTCTGACGGTATGATAACCTTAAGCAAAAATATCACGGTATCACAGTATTGTCATTACAGCTCTAAAATGTGTTATTTTTAAATGACTGGGTAAAATAAAACTTTTTCCACTGAACACAATATATTTAGTTTTTGAGCAACATACAGAATATTAGGAACAGTAGAATGTTTATATTTTCTTTGATTTCTTTCCTAAAAAGAAGAAAAATAAAGACTGACATCTTTATTTAACCTGTAATCTAACCTTAAATCTGTAATTAGTTATTTAATTTTAGTTATATAATTCATATACATATAATTTGTATAATTTCATATCATTTAGTTATATAATTTCATATACATAATTTGATTTAATAATAACCCAATTTGAAGCAAAAACAGAACGTTCTGTTCTGACTAGCTTTGTGAAATTATACTACATGCCTGAACGAAGCAAACAGCAGATGCTCTGAATGAGATGCAAATTCACTCTCTGACAGCAGGAGGTGCTTCTGGAACACCAGATACATAATTTCCTTGGTTACCGCTCTAAACAAAGCAGTGCTGCACTGAAACCCTGGTGGGGTTTAAAGGTGGGGTAAGCGATTTCTGGCAGCCAATGTTGACATTTGAAATCACCAAAACAAACACGCCCCTACCCCAAAAGGGTCTCGCCCCTATTTTGATAGCTCCGCCCTACACATAGCCTACGTACACAACCCAGGCAACGATTAGTTCTGTGAAACAAAGCAAAACCAATGTTCCCCCTCTTCTACACCGGATGCGAGTGGCGAGGTGGGACAAAATACTATGGAACTCATTATAATCAGTGATGCTGTCTACACCATAATTAATTCATTCATTCATTACATTTATATAGCGCTTTTCTAGGCACTC